CTAACCCACAAGTCAGTGGAGCATCGTTAGGAGATGCAGTCACATGGTAGCCGAAGACCAACAATTGGTTCATACGCTATTCGTTCCCTCAGGATACTGGAGCCCGTGTGGACCATTGGTTTGAAATCAGGGTTTTCCAACTCCCCTAGGTGGACTGTCCGTGCCCACCAACACGGTTAAAGCGCCGGACATTCGCTTTTCGTCCTCTGAATTTTGTAAACAACACCCCCGCCATGAGAAGGCAGTGACTAGGACTTCCTTGGCAGAGGCTATATACGCGTGGCCGTGTGAGAGCAGATTGAGAGGGAGAGCGAACGCTCCCTACTCTCTGCCGTACCAGGGCATTTGGGGGCATCGGCTACCATCTGCTTAATCTCTTCGCTCGTCAAACGACTCTTGTCATTTGTGATCGTTATCCTTGTCAACAACAGATACGTCCAGAATACCGTTCGCGTCTATATCAAACGTCACCTCAATCTAGGGAACACCACGAGCAGCAGATGCTTATTGTGCTAGGACTAGTTTGTACTCTTAATCTTAGTTCTAAGATTTTTTGGATTCTAAGTTGAAAGACAACAGTTGAAGAAGTCTTGTAACAGCTTCTGCACTTTAGGGATACGAGTGGAACCACCAACTAACACTATCTCGTGAATCTGGGACTTGTCCATCTTAGCATCTCGTAAAGCCTTCTCAACGGGATCCAACGTACCACGGAATAGATCGGCATTCAACTCCTCAAATCGTGCACGAGTGATCACCGTGTAAAAATCAATACCATCACACAACGAGTCAATCTCCAGATTCGTCTGGGCACTCGAACTCAACGCACGTTTCGCACGCTGTCCTCAGACGACGCAATGCACGCTTATTATCACGAATGTCTTCGTTGTTTTCCCGCCGAAACTCTTTAAGAAAGTGATCCACGTTGCGATTGTCAAAATCTTCACTTCCAAAGTGCGTATTACCAGCAGTAGACTTCACCTCGAATACACCATCCTCAATAGTCTAGATAGACACATCAAATGTACCACCAACCAAGTCAAATATCAAAACATTACGTTCACCATCAACTATCTTGTCCAAACCATAGGTAATTGCCGAAACTGTCGGCTCGTTAATGATTCTCAACACATTAAGACCAACTACAGCACCTGCATCTTGCGTTGCTTCACGTTGACTGTCACTGAAGTAAGCAGGAACTGCTATAACTTCGTCAGATTCAGATTTTTGTACCTACGTTATTCATTTTCTAGTATGCTTCTGTGAGTGTCTAGTCTTCTCTTGAATGAGTCAATTGAAGATGCAGACACAATTGTTTCGGGTAACAGGTTCCAAGAATTGATGGCTCGATGTGAAAAGCTGTATTTTCTTCGTTCTTAGCTTTTCTACTTGCCTGCTATTTCCCCTGAGATATCCGGATCTAGTGGGGAGAAAAAGAGAGGACGTATTATGTTTAAAATCATTTCTTGGTATTCTATGCATCAAAACCAGATCACCTCTTAATCTGCGGTAGGACATTTTTATTTATTTAAACACATAGATATTGGTGCAAGGGGACACCAGATATATATGCGCCACACGAAGCAATGAAAACGGGAAGAGAAAGGGGTAAGATACGTAAAAAATGTAATGGTGAGGGGAACTGAAATGTACAACCAGAAAGACTCTCTCAGTTAAAGAGGTTATAACCACTCTTTATGTAGAAAGTAAAAGAAGGTTACAGCAGGCTCTCCACTGGCTTCTTTTCTGAGCCATATCTGATAACGTCTCTAGCCACTGTGCTGCACCATCTCTCGGACCCCAACCAGTGAGTCGTGAAGGTCCAACAGAAGTCAGTCCTTTGCACCTTTCTTTCATAACACGACACCATGTCAAACACTGACCACCTCTCCGCTTTTTCCAACCAGTCCCAGAGTCGGCAAATAATGCACGACGTGGAATTCTCTGGGACGAAATTCGTAGAACATGTCCAAGCCAACGAAGTCGGTGTTTCAAGATGGTGACACTAATTGGATTGTCGTCTCTGCGCCCGAACACACGATGCCGAAACTCTGCATTACTAACATGGTGTTGCCACTGTATGTCAGCAATCCTTCGGAGACAACGATGATCGAGCACAAAGAGTCGTCTAACATCCTCAACTCGGAGAGGCCAGAATTATAGTAGGTTCTATCTTTAGAGCAGGTACGAAACATAAGCACGAAGACTATCGAACCGTAAGCCTAACTGGCGTGGTTCTTAAGTTTCTAGAAAAAATTATTCGGAAAGAGTTGCCCAAATGTCTTGACGAAAACCGGATCCTTTCTGAAAAACTTCATGGCTATAGAGCAGGTTATTCCTGTCTCATCGACTTTTTAGTAGCTCGTGGAAGTTTGTGCACTCTCAGGGATCAAAAGGTACATATAGACGTAGTTTATATTGACTTCAGGAAAGGTTTCGACAAAGTTCCTCGTAACCAGCTGTTATGGAGAGCGAGAAAAAGTTAAGTTGGTAGTTTGGTTCTTCAAAAGACCCGGAGAAATTATCTAACTGGTCTGAAATTTGCAGTTTCTGATAAATGAATCCAAGTGCAATGTGCATATTCGTCACCACAGTACAGATACATACACGGTGAATAACATTGAGCCCAAACACACAAATACTTGAAAGTCATCGTTCGAAAAAAATTAAAAACTACTGCACATTACTATGCAATAACCGTCAAAGATTTTAGAACCCTATGTTCAATACATAAGGCCTTGAGCCATGTAAATGCTAAAAAAGTATTGCGAACAAGCAGCTAGCCACTGTGTAAAATGAGCTGTTAGGAAAGGTTCAGAGAACATTGGCTAAGCTGATTTCTTGAAAAGCAAAGCTCCTGTGTGATGCTCGACGGACTAAACTAAACTTAATTCCATTGCCATATCGAAGAACCAGAAGCGACTTGATCACAAATTTGAAAAATACTTAGTAATAACACTGCATCTGATATGCACTAACTTTCCTTGGCTTAAAAAACAAAAAAATTACGAGGACACTCTAAAACAGTTTACAACACTAGAAAAAACTAATTGTCAGCTAACTATCGACTTTCCCATTGAATTATAAACGCATGAAATTCATTACCTCTACACGTTATTGAAGTAGCAACTGTCGACCCTAAAAATAAAGTTGGATCAATTGAGTGACCACAATTGCCAAGACTAACACAGGCCATCTAGCCTTCTGTCGTTTCCAAATTAAAACAAAATAACACACGGGCTCATCCCGTCCTCGAAGCACGATTGTTCTCACAGGAAGCTACGTTGACTCACTCCACACCCATTTACATGAATGCGACATGACTGCACCGTTAACATCTTGCTCTAGTTGATTTCGAATTGAAACTAGTGTAAAAATACTAGGCCAGTTTACAAACAAGCTCACCTACATAAACATATGCACTGTCCCTCCCATTCCACTTGTTACATACACAAACACTACTTCTATTTCAGCTTCAAGTAGGTATCTCCGAACAAACCCATACCTCGTTTTGCGAAATTAAAAGATACCCAGTCTGACCATCAACAAGAAGAATGGACACATACCTACCACCTCTAAAGTCCAAAGGTTTACAACTCCGACGACTAGATAAAGCTTATAATAAATCCACCTCCATATGCAGGATTATCCATCTGACCGACCACCCGTTCTTCGACACACTGTGATGATCGACTGACTCGATCGAACATAGGCATTTCCAACAACCAAGCAAATGATTATAACATTTCCCCAACCCACATATCCCAATGTGGAATACTATGCGATTATGTTGACTAATATTATGGCTAAAATCTGGGAGCTGGACGTAATCTCGTCTGACTGGTCACTATCACTTATTGTTTCAATATATATGGGGCCAAAATCATCCTGTGATAACCATAAAGGGATTAGACTGACTAGCATACCATCTAAAATACTATCCTCAATAATTTTCGGACGCCTAACTAAGACTAGTGAACTCCAATCACGAGGAAATCAGGCTGGCTTCAGACCTCGTCGTAGCTGCATCGTCCATATATTCATTAGGTTTTAGAGCACAGACAATGATAGTTTTTCTTGACTTAAAAGCATTTGACTCTAGACCGAGATGTTCTTTGGCAGTGATTGTCATTGAAAGGTGTACCTCATAAGTATATAAACCTTGTGAACACTCTTTACTCGTACACTACCAGTCGAGTGAGAGCTTATGGCGAACTGTCATCTGATTTTACAACATCAAGTGGTGTCCGGCAAGGCTGTCCACTATCTCTATCTTTGTTCAACCTCACTATATACTTACTGCTGGAAATAACGCTCTCCTCGACTGAATTTTCAGGGATTCATCTCCTTCCAGGAGGTACACTTATCAACTTTGAATACACAGATGACATAGTCCTGTTTGGTGAAGACGCTGACAAAATGCAGTCATCTGTTAGCAGTGAGTAACAATGCAGAGATGTTTGGAATACCTTTCTCACCCTCTAAATGTAAATTGTTACTCCAGTACTGGCCTGTGTCAACACCTGAACTATGGCTTGGGAGTGAAGTAGTCGAACGCGCCGACAGCTTCACTTGGAAGTTTGATCAGCCCTAATGGGTTGGTGTCTGATGAGATCTCAGCACGGATTCAAAAAGTTCGTTTGGTATTTGCCAACTAACGTCACCTATGGCGAAGATGAGATATCTATCAATTATGGGACACTGTGCACCAGTTTGCTTTCTTCTACTTTACGGGTGTTAAACATGTACACTGAGAAAAGACACACATTAGTTACTAGTATTTGGCCACATTGCCTTAGATATACTGATCACATCTTCAGGGATAACAAGGTAAGTAATAGTGAGGTTAGACATGAGGTATTAGAGAATGATGGTAAGTCAGTCGATGAAGTCATGGATCTTCATCGACTCAGGTGGTTGGGCCACGTGTTACGCATGCCTGAACACCACGTCGCGCTATGCTGACTAGTGCCGGGGATGGTTGGGAGAGGGTTAGGGGCGGCCGAACCAAAACGTGGCACCAGCCCCTGAAGTCACTAACTTCTAGACTGAGCCACGTTGGTATATGCAGACTCCTTGGTTGGGGTCCGCGCGATATAGTGTACGCACCCTTCCTATTCCGTTAAACCCTGAGACCATATCCTTATAACTTTTCTCTTTTATATTAACACTACGAGGTATGGCAATTTGGGCCGACGTGCGTTGTCATCGCCACCTATTTTACAAACGACACACCCGTTTTCGACGGACTTCTCGGGAGTCTCAACAACGGTTACGCAAAGCCTATATTTTAGGACGCCGCCCTACACTTCTCTAGTACCCGTCATACTCAACGAACTACCACGGCAAACTCTAAGGACACTTACATGCCTATCGAAACTCGCACTCAGCCTAACATTGCAGACTATATAATAATTGAAAACAACGAATTCAAAAGTATCGTTTATTAGTCACTGGATATATACAAAAATGCAAACAGGCTAATCCACTTCTTCCATACCGTCGTCAACCACTTCAGCTGGCGCAACCTCTTTCTCGAGACCGTTGCTTGGGACTTCCTTTGCCTTTATCTCTTCATCGGGAATATCCAGGCACATGCAAACCATATGGTGGATGCTCTTGGAGTGCAACTTGGGATCAGGCAGTGAGAAACCTGAAGAAAGCAATGCAGTGTCAAACAATAGTTGGACGAGATCCCTTACAAGTTTCGTCGAACTACCACTCTCAAACTGTTCTTTCAATGCTTTGATCATCGGATGATATGGATTCAGCTCTAGCTGTTTCTTAGCTGCCATATAGCCCATAGTGCTGGAGTCTCGGAGTGCTTGTGCCTTCATGATCCTCTCCATGTTAGCAGACCATCCGAACTCTGAAGTTACAACGCAGCATGGGGAATTTGTAAGTCGATTCGAAATACTAACCTTTTCAACGTTCTTGCCAAGTATCTGTTGAATCTCTTTGCAAAGTGTTTCGTACGACGCTTTCAGCTCTTCGAACTGTTTTTTCTCTTCCTCACTCTCAGGTAGTTGAAGACCATCCTTAGTAACACAAACCAACTTTTTATTTTCATACTGCCGTAGGTGGGTCACTGCGTACTCATCTATCGGATCGACCATGTACAACACTTCGAATCCACGTTGAGTAAGTTTCTCAGCAAATGGTGAGTTCATCACTGCTTGCTTTGACTCACCTGTTATGTAGTAAATATCCTGTTGTTCAGGCTTCATACGTGACACATAATCCTTCAGGCTAATCATTTCATCACCAGAAGCTGAAGAATAGAAACGCAATAATTCAGACAACTTCGCTCTATTCACACTATCTTCATGGATGCCCAACTTGATACTTTTCGAGAATTGCTCATAGAACTTCTTGTAGTTTTCCTTATCTTCTGCTATCTCTTCAAACAGTTCAATACATTTCCTGACCAGGCTCTTACGGATGACCTTTAATACGTTGTTCTGCTGCAACACCTCACGACTGATGTTAAGAGGCAGATCCTCACTATCCACAACTCCGCGAACGAAACTCAAGTATTCGGGAATCATATCCTCACAGGTATCCATGATGAGCACTCTTCGCACATACAATTTAATGTTGCTCCGCTTTTTCCGCGTCCCTTCAAACATGTCAATAGGTGCGCGTTTAGGCACAAAAAGCAATGCACGGAACTCCAACTGACCTTCGACAGAAAAGTGCTTCACCGCAAGATGGTCCTCCCAATCATTAGTTAACGACTTGTAAAACTCTGCATACTCTTCTGTAGTTATATCTTCGGGATTGCGCGTCCAAAGCGGCTTAAGCTTGTTCAACTGTTCTTCCTCAATATACTTCTCCGTTACCTTCTTCTTTTTCTTCTTTTCCTTGTTCTCGTCTTCTTCGTCTTCATCTAGATCTTCGACCTTCGGCTTGTCATCAGATTCTTCAGCCTCCTTCGACTCTACTTTTTCAGATTCGTCATCAGACACCTCCTTTGTTCGCTCCTTATTTACAACTAGCTTGATAGGATAGTTGATAAAACTGGAATGCTTCTTCACTATATCTCGTACCTTCCTTTCTTCAAGATATTCTAGCTGGTCTTCTTTCAGATGTAATATCACCTTAGTGCCACGTTTCGGCATCTCACTGTCATCTGGTGCAATCGTGAAAGTTCCACCAGCGGACGACTCCCAAATGTACTGGTCGTCATCATTGTTCTTCGTCACTACTTGGACGCGGTCGGCAATGAGGTAGGCAGAATAGAAACCCACACCGAATTGACCAATCATTGATATATCTACACCATCAGCCAGAGCCTCCATAAATGCTTTAGTACCGGAAGAAGCGATCGTACCCAAATTTTTAATCAAATCTGCTTTTGTCATGCCAATACCAGTATCCAGAACGGTCAAAGTCCCAGCCTCCTTGTTAGGTATCAGCTTGATATACATTTCTTCACCGGTATCAAGAACAGATGGATCAGTCAAACTCTTATACCTCAACTTGTCCAGAGCATCACTGGCATTGGATATAAGCTCACGAAGAAATATTTCTTTGTTGGAGTAGAATGTGTTGATAATCAAGCTCATAAGCTGGGCGATCTCAGCCTGGAAGGCAAACTCCTCAGGTTGTTGTTCAGTACACATTGATTCCGGCATCGTTCAGCGTCAAAATGCAGCTAACCAGACAATGAAGTAGTGGTGAGCGCGTTGAGCTTGGATTTATAAACACGGTTTAGAATATTCGAGAAATTAATATTTGGTTTCTAAAAATAGAAACCATTGGACCAATAGGAGCAGAATGGATTTGCGTAGAATATTCTACATTGTTCCGTCACTTTTCATTGGCTCACACAATCAGGTCAACAAACTGGTAACATACCGGCTATTGTTTGTGGTAACAACCAAAAAATCAAGATGTTTGATTAGACAATTTAAGTTGTTGACGTATAAGACTAAAGGTATTAACTGAAGTATTTGCAAAGCCTCGTAATAAAGGTTCACTTAAGATTCTGATTTGTGTATTGAATACAGCAGACCAAAAACCTGGATTATCAATGAGGAATTGAAGGAGTAGCTGTAAAAAAAATCCCTAAAATCAATAGCTCTGTAAGTGTTTTACATTGGATGCTGACCACTTTAGTTTTAATGATATGTTCAAAGATCTGTGTTCTTATCATTATCATTATCTCGGAGAAGCAGCATGGTTTTAGAGCAGGTTATTCTTGTCTCACTAACTTATTAGTCGCTCGTGAAAGCTGGTGCACTCTTAAGGACCAAAAGTTACCTGTAGACGTAGCCTACATCGATATCAGCAAAGCTGTCGACAAAGTTCTTTACAACCAGCTGTCGGGATTGCAGGCAATCTATTGATGTGGATAAAAGACTTCCTAGTTGGGCGTCATCAAAGAGTACGGGTGAACTCCAAGTTATCTAGCTGGGAAACCGTACTTAGTGGAGTCCCCTAGGGTACAGTTTTGGGGCCAGTGTTGTTCCTTTTGTACATAAATGACCTCCCTCGTCTACTATCGTCATCAGTCTTGCTCTATGTTGACAACATCAAGATATGGAGAGCGATACAAAGTAAGGGTGGTAGCTTAGAACTCCAAAACGACCTGGAGAAATTATCTGAATGGTCCCAAACCTGGCAATTGCCGATAAATACTTCCAAGTATATTGTGATGCATATTGGCCACCAGGGTACAGATACATACACGATGAATAACACTGTGTTACCTATTGTCCAGGCACACAATGACTTAGGAGTCATCGTTAGTCAAGACTTGAAGACTACTGCACACTGCCGTGTAATAGCCGCCAAAGGTTTTACAACTTTATGGTCCATACGTAGGGCTTTTAGTCATCTTGACGCTACAACGTTTCTGACTTTGTATACAGTGTTCGTGCGTCCTAAACTTCATTACTACATACAAGCAGCTAGCCCCTGCCTAAAAAAGACAGTGAGATCTTGGAAAGGGTTCAGAGAACAGCAACTAAGATGATTTCCGGAATAGCAAAGCTCCCGTATAATACTGAACTGAACAAGCTAAACATATTCTCGCTGTCATATCGAAGAGTCAGAGGCGACTCGATTACAGTATTCAAATTGCTTAGTGATAAATTTGCACCTTGTATGCCCTCATTTTTCTTGTCTTCCAAAACAGGAAATTTACGAGGACACTCCATGAAAGTTTACAAGCCCAGAACGAATTACTTGTCAGCTGACTATCGACTTTCCCATCGAATCATCAACGAGTGGAATTCATTACCTCAGCACGTGGTTGAGGCTCCATCCGTCGACTCTTTCAAAAGAAATTCGGATCAACTGAGAGACCATCATTGTCACGACTAACACTGGCCATCAAGCCTCCTATCCTTTCCAAACTGAAACGTAAGTGACTTGTACTTTAGAGCTGAAAGTGGATTTGCTTGACGACTCGATTAGCAACTAAGTTAGGTGAGATGATCTCTTCTGAGACAGTAAACAAATAAAGTTGAGTAGTTTGAGCGGCCTGCAGTTATTAGTTAGTTGGTTACTGCCCGACAACAGATGAGATGTGAAATAGGTAAGGGTGACAATGCACATGTTTCGCATAGTATTCCACATTGGGATATGTGGGTTGGGGAAATGTTATAATCATTTGCTTGGTTGTTGGAAATGCCTATGTTCGATCGAGTCAGTCGATCATCACAGTGTGTCGAAGAACGGGTGGTCGGTCAGATGGATAATCCTGCATATGGAGGTGGATTTATTATAAGCTTTATCTAGTCGTCGGAGTTGTAAACCTTTGGACTTTAGAGGTGGTTAGACGCAGGGTATTAGGTAACGATGGTAAATCAGTTGATGAGGTGATAAATCTTCATCGACCGAGATGGTTGGGCCATGTGTTACGTATGCCTGAACACCGATTACCACGACGCGCTATGATGACTAGTATTGGGGACGGTTGGAAGAGAGTTAGGGGCGGCCAAACCAAAACATGGCATCAGTGTTTGAAGTCACTAACTTCTAGCCTGAGCCATGTTGGCAGATGCAGACTACCTGGTTGGGGTCCGCGTGACTATCGTAATAAATGGTTGGAGACTCTAGGTGACATGGCTCAGAATCGATCACAATGGCGTAGGTGTATACACTCTTTATCTTCCCTTAAACCTTGAGATTAAAATTGCTTCATATCTCCCTTCCTGTACTATATCCTTCTATACAATCTTTCTTTATATACTACCATCACTAAATTAATTGCTTCTATGAATCCGGTGTCCATCTTGTTGTGCTAAAGAGGTATGGCAACTTGGACCGATGCATATATGTGCCTGGTCCTACGTTGTAGCTGACTGACTGACTTAGAGGTGGTAGGTATGTGTCCATTCTTCTTGTTGATGGTCAGACTGGGTATCTTTTAATTTCGCAAAACGAGGTATGGGTTTGTTCGGAGATACCTACTTGAAGCTGAAATAGAAGTAGTGTTTGTGTATGTAACAAGTGGAATGGGAGGGACAGTGCATATGTTTATGTAGGTGAGCTTGTTTGTAAACTGGCCTAGTATTTTTACACTAGTTTCAATTCGAAATCAACTAGAGCAAGATGTTAACGGTGCAGTCATGTCGCATTCATGTAAATGGGCGTGGAGTGAGTCAACGTAGCTTCCTGTGAGAACAATCATGCTTCGAGATGAATTCGTGTCTTGTGTTAGCGCTTCTCATGAATTAGAATCGGCCTAGAATAAGAACATTCAATATTGGAGTATAGTAGCCACCAAACCATGGTTGACTAATCAATCCAGAGAGAATGACGTTAACCAGTGTTTGCGAAACATTGCTAATTTAGTTGTGGTGATATAGAACTTTGCGAATCTGAGAGGAGAGAGAGAAGTGAATTGAAACTGAAATATATTGTTAAAAGTAACCAGTGTACGGAATTATTTGTGGAGAAGAGAAGGAGGGGAGTTGGTTGGTTGTGTCCTGTAGATCTTACTGTTCTCGCTTTGTTCAAAGGTATAAATGGTAGTTAAATGTATGTGCTGGGTCAGCTCTCGAAACTGGGATTTCCTAACTTGTGTTCCACCTAGCCTAGGAGTTCAGTAGTGATTTACAACCGGGTAGTTTATGACTTCAGTTTTAGAATTGCGAGTGAGCGTAGCAACGCGCATACTAAGTGACTGGGAAATCGTATGAATCAGTCAACGATGAGAGCACAACATGGCATCACTGAACTTGAGTTTCCTTTGTAGAATACTTTCGAACCTCACTAGCTGTCCTAGTTAGCCAATGAATGAGTGGCACGACCGAAGCATTGTCTCAAGCTGTCTATGCACTTCATGGTGGTTTGAACCTGGAAGTTTCCATAACATTTCCTAGAGTGTTTCGCTCACTTTTGTTGTTCTGCTTGATTTGTTGCATGAGATAAAATATTTATATTGGAGTAGGCTGTCATCGTGATTTTATCTGATATTAGTAACCGGACTGAACCATGTTAGTTGGTCGGAGGCAGTCGACAAGGAGCCGTGAACTGATGTTCCGTGCTAGCTGGCGCTCGTCGGTAAGGTGCACCTGGAAACTTAAGGGAACAGGCATCCTGTGTGGAATACGAGCCCACGCCACTCAGTGTCACAGTTGGAGGTGTTAGCATGGAGCGATTCGGGTCTCTATCGCCTGCTATGTTTGAATCAAGCATCTGACTTGGCATACCAATTACTTTTGTCGATTGCAACGTTTCTATCCTCACGATGACAGTAGAGGTTTTCCTCTTGACATTCTATTGACTAATCAGCTGTGAGGGGACTGAGCTTTGGTTTATTTGAGTTTTATCTGTTGATTATCATAAAGTCGACCTGAAAATAAATGTATTGATATGTTGTGTTAATCCAGATGTAATCTAGCTTATCTGGTGTTTGGGTGTGAAATAAATCTCCATCTGTCGATCAGTCTTTTGACTTCTTACAGAAGTCTATCTAGTCACTTCAAAATGTAGGATATATATGAATGGTCACATATAAGACACTGAGTTGTAGATTTTCACACATGCGTGACCTCTTTGTTGGTTGTCCTGACGAGATCCGGTTTCTTAAGTAGAAACTGTCGAACGTGAGCTCAAGGGTAGTGACATTTCCTCAGCAATACACACTTAATGACATTGTCAAACCAGAATTATGGAAACGTCATGTTTAAGAGTATCAAGAAGCTTCCCTTTCATCAAGAAACATGAGAAGAATGCCAGGGAGAATATTTCAAGTAGTTAGCACCTTAAGTTAATCTTTGAAGCTGGAATCTCAAATTGAGTACTTTTTTGTTGTGGGTTGTGTGCTTTCTTTCTGTCAACCCTTTTGGCTTACAATATCAATGTCTACCACAATATATAAACACTTGCATAGTAAACTTCGTCTGGTGATAAACAACTAGTCTCTCTTCTTACTGATACTGTCACTAAATACCGATCTAGATACTTTCAAGTTTCTCATAAACTAGACGCTACTTAATTTGTCTACTTAACAAAACCCACAAAGAAAACATACGTCTGAACGTAAGAGAGAAAACAACTTTAGAGATTTATTTCAGGCTCAAATATTCGATTGGAAATAGTGTGTCAAGACTTCATAGAATATAGAGCTAATCGACAACTAGGATTCTGTAAATTCAATATCATTCTGAATAATCCCGTTACCTGTTGTAAGAACTTAGTCACTGATATAATGATAATATA